ATATACCCTTTGTCTCGAAATGTCTGTTTTAGGGTGTAGGTGCCACCGCCTAACTCTCTAGTCTAGATTCTTTAGCACTATTCATAAGATACGACATCTAAGCGAAGTTTCAATTCATTTTACTTTAGTTACTTTTTCGTTACATTTTACTTTAATTAATGGGTCACTATGTCAAACTAGGCGACTAGGCGACCGCCTAATTCTCTAGCCACAAGACAACATTCTTAGCGATGTTTCGTTGATTGTATAACACCAAGTGGAATTGAACCCTTTTTTATGATATTTGATGAGTTACAAAGTCCATGAGTGCTCTTTTGACTTCACTCTATATAAGAAAAGTATCTACGTTTTTAGTATTTTTACATTATCCGTTAATGTACACGTTAATTTTTGCATTCATTTAAACGAAAAAAGAGGCACAATCTTATTTTTTTTTGCAAAATTAAAGTATATAGTTTACAAACGATTATAGATTCTAAATATGTATTAAGCTATACATTACAATCATAATATTTACTAGTAGACTATATTAGATATTGGTGATAGATATACTTATCTTCTATTCGTAATAAATATGTTTATTAAAAAACTCGAGAATTTGAATAGGCATAAACTCAAAATTTGACAGTGATGGACAATACCTAAATTAAATAATAATAATGTCTCAAAAACACATCAATGTGTACAACAGTTTTAAGTTTTTTACTTTACATAAAACAAGCTATGCCTAACGATTCATTACACACTAATTAACGTAGGAAGAGCAAAATAATAAAATCTTGTAGAAAAAATAACAAAAAAACATTTCGATTTATTTCGAGTTTCTACTAATGAAACGTACACGTTTTGAAAACTTTTCCGTTTTCAATAAAATAAAATAATTACCCATTAAGCAGATTTAATTAATACAGATGGCTAAAGATCCCAGTGGGTACGTAACACCTTCAACAATCATCAATATTTATTTTTATCTTTAAATTATTCACAAAAACCATAATGACCCTACGCCATTAATTAATCCCGTCCATTACTGAATATAGTGTGAAATACGACCGTTAATTTTTGAGTTTAACTTGTTCAAGCAGATTGGTTAGACAACTTTGTTAAAAATATAACTTTTTTCTTCAAAACGTATAAACACTGTAAACTCTTTTCTTTGTATGCAAATGTGTCTTCAATGCAAGCTCACGGATATTTTAGTGATTTCCACCTAATATTACCGTGTGTTTTTACAAACACGTCTACGAAATCCTTAAAAAAATATGGACGTATGTTAATAATCATCCTATTAATATTACAAATGTGGAAGTTTCTTTGTTTGGATGTTTGTCCGTCAATCACGCCAAAACTACTAAACGGATTTGATGAAATTTGGTATACAGATAGGGTATTAGCTGACTTAGATAATAGGATGACTTTTTATCCCACTAAACATTTGCTGGCGAATGCTAGTAATTATTAATTCTTTCAGAATACTTATGTGTATTACAAATCATTCAGTGGTATTACTCCAAAGAAATAGAATAGATTTGATTCATTTGTCTCTACGACAATGAGTAAAAAAGGAAAATAACGACTCATACAACACCGATAATTATGAGTATTTTGACCTATCGAATCTAATATCAAGTGAAAACTAATGTTCAAAGATTAGGCAGAAAAATCTCAGAAACAAACATTATAATAATTTTGTGCAAATGTAGCGAGGTAGTGACGAGCTTACAGCACATTGCACGAGATCGTTGGCGAAGCTCGAAATCTAAGCAATAGGTAAACCTAGCTTGCTGCGTCTGTAACCTATCTCAAATAATATCCAATGACACAAGGAAATATTATATTTTACAAAGTATCGGTATCGGTGCCAATTATTTGTGCGTGTCAAAAACTATGAAAGTTGAAAAGGCAACATCAAAGATAAGCCTCCGTTCTCTTTACAAGATTTGACAGTTGGCTTTTGTCAATTTACACCTTTAACGCTGTGAAAATAATTACTGAACTTTTTACTACAGTATGTTTTCTTTCAAAACAAAAAATAATCACCAAATATACAAACTAAATATCCGTGTAGATTATTACAAGTAAATATACACTTATTATTATTTCCTTTTTATTTTACTCTTAATCAGGATTGTGCGATGCGCATAAGATGATTTGTATATTCTAATGATTAAATTAGATTTGTATACAAATATATTATAATAATAGTAACTTACGCTCTTATTGAAAAATATTAGAGCATCAGCTCTAAATAAAGAATGATCAATAATATAATAGTTAATTGACATGAATCGATTCAAAGCAAAACGGAACAAGTAACACTGTAACTGGTTGGAAATTTTTCATATTTTTCCATCGAGTAACAGTGTAACTCATTTGATTGCGACATGAATACTAAAGATACAGTAGTCAAATATTTTGATCGTTACAAAATATGTATTAGTGGATTAGATTCACTGTTGATATAATGCATAGTATATTTCTATGGCAGACGAAAAAAGGATAATGACCCAAAGTATTATGGGAGTATTTAAAGTAAACCTTACATATCGCTGTCCACAAAATGCTGTTTTGTTTCCGCGAGGTACTGCGTTTTGTTGTAAGGCACGGGACGCTATAGGTGATAGGTTCAAAAACCAAGTTTTTCTGATTATTGACCATAAATGTTCTTAATTTCTTAATAAATGCATATTAAATATAATCGAATGCAAATTCAGTCTAAGTACTTTATTTCGAGTGACTTTCGAAATGAATATGATTTTTTTGAAATTATTTTGACCGAATACGCGATCAAAAAGGTTAACGATAAAGATTTCTATAGATAACGATACGTATTGTTTACCTTTAACGCTCACATAATACTTTGGATCATTTTCTGTACATACCTGCAAACACTTTAAATTTTAACATAATTAAAAAAGGACTTAACTCTTATAAGAAACGATACATCTAAGCTAATATTATAAAATGAGCTATAAAATAACTATATTACTTATACACAGTTGTTTAGATATTCAAGACCTACCCTAGTAATATTATTCAAAAAAGATAACAGGTTTTTAAATATTATCACATCGATTTTATAAATACACGTTAATTTTTATAAAATAACTTGACGTTGCCATCCTTTATTGTCATTTTTAATGCTACTAAAACAAGTATGTATGTAACAATAAGTAAGGACTAGAATAAGTTACAATATTTTTATACATAATGTGTAACACGAGGAGCTTTAATGTGTTATTGTCATTTTTGGCTTCTTCTTATACATATTTGTATTATGATAAAAAATAAATTAATTTTATTAATAAATATTTATTGTCCACAATTTAGCTATATTATTACTCTACACCATTTAAAAACTATTATCTAATAGTATAACAACGATGTTATTAAAACAAACACGCCAACAATTGATTTGAATATTTTTTTCATTTGGGCTTTAACAGAATTTTCATAATTTCCAATTGATTCTAAGTACTATCGCTATTTCAAACTGATGTTTTAATCGAAAAATGTTTTATTTCTTTTTGTCAATATTCATGTTATCTAATATTCTATATTTCCTTTGTAAACTTAAAATCTTGTCCGACAATTTTTCTCTGAAAAATATTTTAATAATTATTCAAATTAATTGTTCGCGCCTACTTTATTCCAAATAGTGACATGTAATGTTGGATATCCATATATTTTACATTTCCTAATATAAAATTTATTGTCGTATGAATACTGGGAACTAGCTCATTGTTTACTCGATAAACAGTTCAAGGTCTAAATATAATAATATTGTCGATTATATTCCATGTATATATGAACAGTCGTTTTAGCTGCCAGCTTGTCAATATTGTCAATTGCAACTTTATTAAAGTTAAAATAATAATACATAAATATATCAAGGATTTTAAAAACAAATAAATACCTAAGCGCCTGTTTACAGTTATTTAAAGTTAACAGCCAACCGTTAATTACTTTTCTAAATAGTTCCGAAAGTAGAATTCAACAAGAGTAAATATTACAATAGTTTTTCTATAATACAAACCTACTGCTATAAATGTTATATTAAAAGTTATAATAAACAATTTTTAACAAATAAATAACCAAAATAATCATCTGAATATTCAATAAATCGTTATATATTTAGATGTGAGATATGTTTGAACATGATACGTCACAACAAATTCATTAATATTATACAGATGATATGTATAAATTGTAAAATCAACGCGTTTTTCCTTTATTATTACTCAAAAAGAGAGTAAAAAATGTATATTTCACGTAAAATGGCGACCAATATTATAAAACTAAAAAGACTTAATGATTATTATCTTTACGTATAACATGTATAAATACGAAATTACCAAGAAAAAACGAAGATATATATGTATTGATAAATCATTATCATATTACGGATGAAATTTCTTATTACTTTATTCCAATAGACATCTACTTATCATCAGTTTTTTAAAGCAAATGCAAAATTGAAAAAGTAAAATACTATAATAGGAGCTTTGGTGGTTATCAGAAATTCAGCTCAACAAAGCATTAATCGATCACGTAGAGGTGTACGCAACGGGGCACTGAGGAAATGGAAAAAAAATAAACAAAATACTATCGTACATTTCTTTTCGTTCCGTTATTTTCTTTTTCGTTAAAACGTTCTTTGTAATTCTTTGTGTTCTATACTATAAATAAAGTAAAAAAAATATTTTTGAAAACAAAAACTTTTGACCCGAATTTTTTTCTCGTAAATAATTTGTTTTTCGTATTTATTGTGTACAACACAGTAAACAGCGTTTGGTTAGTTTAGGAAATTTTTCTTATTTGTATAATTTTTTTAGTACAACATTACATACACTCCAACCGGTGATTATTAAATTTCGTCTGCATCAAAATATATTTATTTATCATCATAAATAAAGTTTCATAAAACAAAATGAGCTGGGTGATTCATTGCCTCACAACTCTAGGAACTGCTGCTTTGGTTTAGCTCCCAAAACTATAATCTACTCATCGTCATCAGTGTCGCAACAACCGGGCCAGCAGCAACCCTCACTGCCATCCGGTCTGGTGCAGAAGAGTAACGTCTCCGTAGCAGACACAGGGCGGGGTTCGATGCCATGGAAATCACGGAGCTCTTCGGCTGGGAACCAGGCACGCTCCTCGTCATCAATTATCGGTACACCAAAGTACCTGGTTGAAAATAAAACGATAAGATCACTTTGGATCACTTAAGCAAGAAGTAAGGGTTAAGGGTTACGTAATTATTATCATTGTTGTTTTAGGCTTCGCCTACCAAAAATAGGTTTTTTATAGGAGCTATAGAGTTTTTATTTTAAATAATGACTTACTGTGATACAAATAATATTTAAAATATCCTTATTGATAAATCTAATGACTACTCTTAAATTTCATTACGTCTAAGCCACATTCCCTCTTCCTCAATATTTCCAACTCAAACAGTTTTGTTCAAAATTGTAATCCACTAAATAAACACTATAGGAAGGAATCCATACAAATAATAATTCTCACTAACCTGCTTATAGCCACCACAGGTATCCACAGCACGGAAGCCAAAACCAAGAAGATGACCATAATAATAGCCCATATTGGCCATGGTTTTGAAACTGTGTCCCCTTCTGAACGTATCCAGGCTTGATATCCAGAACCTTCCATTGCCAACTCGGCAAATGAGGAGACGAGAATTGACAACATGGCTAACGGCGAAAGATACTTCCAACAGATGAGCCAATATATACCAGGACGAGTACCTGTCATCAGTTCGATATCGTCTGCAAACCTGAAATATGTTTAAATATTAATGCATTTGTCAGCTCTCTTATTCATTGGTCCGCCCTCCAGGAGGCACGCTGGGACAGATCCTGAGACCTGCGAAGGAACATATGAACGGAAAGAAGCCCTAGGGAAGGGGAACTTCCGTGGTTATAGGAAAAGGTGTGTATTCAAGCATCCCTCCCCCTTCGGAGACTTGACCATATTAGGGACTTCTTTTATGAAAACATGCAACCACTGCACATTCTTTTGTAAAATGAAAATTAAATTATCTATTATAATATAATATATTTTTTTAAAACCGTTAAAATCTTCTATTAGCGATACTTAACCAGAGGAAAAAATTGTGCAATGATAGCAAATTTTTCATGTGCATCATTTCTAATAATGATTTACTTCAGTTGAGACAGTAATTTGTATTCCTTCTTCTATACTAATATCATAAAACGGAAAGTTTTAATTGTTTGTTTATATTGAATATGCTCTGAACCTACTGGCCAATTTTAAGAATTCTATGACCTACGTACAGCTGCAGCATACGCGGTTGTCATAGGCAACGATTTACGACGGGGAAAATTCGCAGGAAAACATCTAGTTTCTAACGATCTGTATTAATGAAAATATATTTCAGTTAAGACATCCATTTGTATTTATTCTATACGAGTAAATAAATTTTACACTCAGCGGTACGAATGTAGAAACAGCTTTAAGTTTTCACGCCTTGCTTGTGTATTTTTCTTTCGTTCGAAGTGTAAAAGTTAAGAGTTTGACGTCGAACCGGTATCGATTTTGCATTACAACGCCAGTCGAAGTAAGTGGAAAGTTATTGAGAAGACATCCATTTTCATGGAGCTTTAATATAAATTGTTAATGACCTTGCAAGTCCGAGATGGTTTACACTAAATCTTACCTAAATAGGTTTATGATATAACCGAAATTACTGAACTGTTAAAGCACGCATATCGGTAAAACTTAAGAGAAATATGATCGCAAGGATGATCGTTATTCATTTCGAAGTTTTACCATCACTCGTGCCTTCGGTAAACCTTACTTTAGTGCCATGGTAATTGTTGATAGACAAGTCAATACGGAGATGAATTTCTTTGCGCAATTAGTAATTCTACTGATTAGATTAAGTTAGAATGATGAGCTGATGAATAAAACCTATAATAAAATCGGTACGTTATTTGATAAATTATTAAGTTCTAGCGATGATTTAAAATAATAGGAATACATTAATAAATTAACACCGACTACAAAAATAATTAAAATAGTCTTTTAAAACTACAAAGGCGATAACTTTCTGAAATTTCATTTGTAGTCGATTGAAAGCCTGATCACCAATTCCTCAGCCGAATTCAAATGAATTTTATTTGATTTATTTACTGCCTTAGTCCTTAGTGGTTTCAAAATTAATTTCAATTTGTTTTTAAATTAAATTTCAATTTGTTTGAAGCAAATGAATTATATTTGATTTATTTACTGCCTTAGCCCTTAGTGGTTTCAAAATTAATTTCAATTTGTTTTTTGTCTATTTTAGTGTATTTATGTAACATAGGTAATAAATATAATAAAAATATATATTTACCTTTTCACTCCGTAGACATACGAGATACCGATGCATTCAAAAAAGGCAATAATCAACAATGGGAAGTTTCCACTATACATGTCGAAAAGCAAAAAAATATAACTTCCGGCCCCATGTGCAAATCCCATAGACAAAACACAGCATATTAAGCATAGACCACCGGTCAAATATTCCTTTCTTAAGTTGGGAAATAGTTTCATGTCCACTATGGATGTTACGACGCCTTCTAAAGTGCCGAACTGCGAGTCTATGCCCAGTGTGAAAAGCATCAGAAAGAAAAGGACCGACCAAAATTGAGCGCCTGGAAATTGATTTATTGCCTCTGTGAATATTATGAATGCCAGTCCCGTTCCAGACGCCGTCTGAAAAATATTAAATAGAATATAAATAAAAAAAAGAAACTTCTGCCTAAAATATAGACATAAATACACGAAGGTGTTCTTAATAAATTCTATTTTCGGAGGTTTATAGATCGTACTCTACCGTCTTGTTTGCAAATATTTAATTGTCTCAAACAAAATTCCTGACGCGAACATTTTAGATATTCTCGACAAGTCCACGAATGTTATTTAATATTAAGGCGTATTTTCATAGACAATATAACATAGTTGATTATTTTGCAATTGAATATCTTAAATAAAATCGTTTTCTATTTGAATACTTTTTCCACGTTCGTTTAGACGAGTATTTACGCACAGATATACGTACGCACAATAGGCATATCAAATTGAATGTGATGGGAAGAGTCGATTCGACGGTTTTTGGAATTATATTATTGGGATTGAACGATGTAACGATAGCAAAGCAATTTGAAAATAAATTGTAGGTACGATACGAGGATTAAGAAATCATATTCCAGTTACCAGTTTTTGTATTGCAAAGTAATTAATGCATAATGTAATATTTTTTTGTATATATTATCCTCCTATAGGTCGATTTATTACTTTGATTAATTAATGATGTCAATTACCCTGTCTTCGTCCTCTAACTTCTAGTAGCCTGCTATGTCACGAACTACTCGCACAAGTATTCAGAATAAAGAGATAGAAGCAACGTTTCGTCTCTACACCCCATTTACATAGTGCTCGACGCGCGCATCGCTTAATTCGTAAAGGAACTTAATATGGGTTTCATTTCTTCTCCGTGTCACAAAATAATAAAATAGTTATAGAATATATACCAACAGAAAATTTCTTATTCAGTTCATTATGTTAGTTTTATGCCGTAATGGGCTTTCAAAATTGGAAAAGTATTACAATGATTTACGACAAAAAGTGACAAAGGTGCACAAAGATATATATATGTATTATAGTGAAGAAAAAAATCGACCTACCTACTTTCGCATATATAATATTAGTATAGAATAATTAAACTGTTATCCTTGTCGCTTATTACATCATTCAAGAACAGTTACTGAAACAAATAGCCTAAGAACAATATAAATCACAATTTCTTGGTCAACTTTAAACCCATAGCTGTTTTTTTACTTTAAATTGAGGAGCGGAGGATTAAAAAACATAGCGGTAAAACATCCGTCTAAAATAGCGCCATTCATTTGCAGGGCTAAACGTCGATCAGCTAAGTAACTATCGCAATGTCCTTCTACAGTGCAGCAGTATAACGTCCAGTGAACTGGTTAACTGTCAAGGATCATGATACGAAACCCAAATATTACTATATAATATAAAATATCTGCAATATTAGAATAAAATCACTTTGATGTTCAACTTCGAAGATACTACAACAACAAGCTATATTTATTTCTTTAAGGTACAGCAACAGCTATACATGTGACTAACCAATAATGTCCAATATGTTTCATTACTTTATCTCGGAAAACTTAAAAGCTTTTTATATAATTTGAAATACAAATGGAAAGAAAAACACATTTAATCTAAAACTGAAACCTACGCAAAATAAAATGCGGTTTCTTCCGTACATTTAATGATTTGCACTTAAATGTTTTAATAAATAATAAGTAAATCATATAAAAAATAATATAAGGAAATCTATATCTTAATTAATATTAGATGTGTGCTTTTTTAAAACCTATTAATAGTTGATAATTTAAAGTATAATAAAACATAAATTGCAATGATAACGAATTGATTGTCGGCGACAAGTCGTATTTTGGCATTCTCCTTTATTACAATGAGAAATCAAATAATAAGCAATGGTTGCTATGATAACATTTTGATTATCCATAAAACTTCCACTCCAATTTTCATCCCTTAAGTGATGATTTTTGGGTTAAAATATAACCTATTACTTTCACAGGGTCTTAAGCTACTCAAATACCAATTTTCATCGATGTAGATCCAAAAACAAAGAAGTTTCATAGAAACGTAATAGAATTCGTTGTTTTTACACCTCTACGTAATAAGAGGAATGTATCCGCCAAATTTCAAATCTCTACGAGCAGGGGTTTAGGTTGTGCATTGTCTGTCAGTCATATAAGTCAGGACATCTCCTTTTATATATGTATAGATTAGTCTATTTAGAGTAAATCTCTCCGACAAAGACAGGATAATCAAGATCGAACATCACTCCAGGTAATCCTCGCAAAATGCTGATACGCCTGGGCGCCATTTTAATGACGAAATTACGTCCAAAAATCAGTACCGTTAACAAATAGACACTGGTTGGCGAGTACATTTATTGAGTTGGGTTGTGTTGAGATCACACACAATATTTGTTATGTATTTGTTGTTTTCGATTATTATTATTTTGTTGTCACTTGTTATGGTTGACTAAAATAACAATTGCTATTATGATTTACACAACGAGTAAACCTAATTTCACTAAAAATAGATATATCTAATGTCTCTCATTTCATTATTACTTTTTGCTTTGTTTTAAAAAAATGTCGTTTCCGTTTGTTTTTGCGTTATTGCAAAGTGAATTACTTTTTTTCATATTTTTTTTTACTTTCCATATAGCTCAATATTAATATATAATTTCACCTTTTCAAAAAATTTATGCAATATATTACCAAACTAAAAGTTACTAAAGTATTTTAACAATACTAAATAATATAAATATTTGATCACTCGTAATTTGTGCTATCTATACTTTCTTTTTTTAAACGACGTCTTACGGGGGTTATTTAGACAATTTTTCAGCGCATTAGCAATTTACGACACTTATAAATTGGTTTGATAAATACGAATTTCACATTTGATTCGCAATGCTATATTGGACAGGTAAATTCAGTAAGTTTTTTTTAAAGATAAATATGTATGTAAGTTTACTAATTAATAACTTTTCATCGTGGACAACTCTTTAACGTCCTAAATACTTACATTATCCAATTCTTTTTGCAGATCGCATTCAGGCAACTGTGGCATGATTATCTTTGTCAAATTCCCATTTAAATAAATATTCACCATCTGCCCCGCGTCAGGAAACTCCATGGACTTGTAAGCTGGCCCGAACAGCTCCAAAAGCGTCTCATTTCTCACGTCCAAGCATTTTTCGTATACCATCGTAGCTTTAAAACCTATTATCGAGAACACCACGATTCCAGCGAACATAGAAGTTAAGCAATTTGTCATCGATACCATTATCGCGTCTCTATAGCAGTTATTGTCTACAGGGTTGTACGATGAAAAAGCAATTAATCCTCCGAACGCGAGGCCAAGGGAAAAGAATATTTGCGTTCCGGCTTCCAGCCACACAACAGGGTCCAAAATCGTGTGCCATTTGGGAGTGAAGAGGTGTACAAGACCGTCGCTCATTCCCTTTAGAGTGATGCCTCTGAAGAAAAAGATTACTAGAACAATGTAGGGGAATGTAGCGGTGACGTAGACAACCTTCCCGGAGGAAGCGATGCCCTTTATCATACACATATAAACTAGGATCCAAGCTATCACCAGAGCTAAAGCAATCTTGTAGTTGAAACTATCCGGGTGATTAATGTCTTCGGAAATTTGAAGTGTTGTTCTATACCAGAAATATTGTGTTGGACTGCTTATCTGCAACAAAAAAAAAGAGTAAATAGTAAAAAATCTACTTTATTTCCTATGAAACATAATGGAGAAGACAAGTCCTGGATGGTAAATAAGTTCTTATATTACAATGGATATAATAAGACGACACTCGATTTGTTTGATTTATGTTTAGGGCAAAATTGTTAGGTATGAAATTTAATCTTGACCATACTGAGGCGTCTGTAATACGTGGCTAAAATATACCCTGAATCATCGTCAAATAAGATAGCGCAGATGGCAGAAAAGGGTTTGAAATAATGCGGGTTTCAAGAACAACGCAATTCAGACAATGATAATATTGGAACGTTTATTTATAAAATATGAAATAAATATAGCAGAGTTTTGGCAACAAAAGTTCATAAAGTATTGTTTGACCTTTAAGGCCGTTATAATAGGTCTATCAATTGCAAATTTATTATATAAGTTTTTCCTCTGATAAAAGTATCAGAAGACACATTAAGCCATTGGTCCCGACTGCGTCTATAGTTGTCAACCAATCCACACTGTACCCGCGTGGTGGTTTATGGTCCGTTCTCGCTGTAAGATTTACTAGGGACAGCCTTTGCCTTTGCAATAAAGACATCTAATAGGTTGGAAATGATTACTGATCGTTTAATCTGATGATCAGACCCTTATTCGTTGTAACAGCAAAATAGATCTGATGATTACACTTTCAATCTTTCAGAAGAGTGACCGAAAAGCGAATGCTTTTGTAAGCGTTATAATTTCTCTATTATATCATAGAAACCTGCGACCTGAACGCGTCAAAAACTCACTGATGTGACATCGTAACCTAACAACATATTCTGTACGGTTTCTGTACCTATACTACTGAACAAACTTGCAAGACCCGGAATAAGAGGTTCCCAACTCCATCTTTTCGAAAATTATCTTGCAAATCGATTTCAAAGAGTTCAGATCGGTGATTTATGTAATTCTGACCTTCCTATTAAAATTGGAATTCTACAGGGAAGTTCACTAGGAACAACCTTATTTTTAGCATATATTAACGATCTATGTAGGCTGAAATTAACTAAAAGGCAAAATAATTACCTTTGCCGATCACACATCTATAAAAAAAATATTTTCTATAAAAAATCTCAAGATAATATCTGTATAGTGTCTCACTCTAACTATTGCTCTCCAACTGGCCACTTCTATACTTGTCATAAATTAGAAAAGATGAGTAACATCAAATATCTCGGAGTTATAATAGACAGAAATCTCAACTTTCAAATGCAAATTAATCCAATCACAGCCAGAATACGTATAATGATATATATTTTTAAGAACCTAAGAGAAATACTGGAGCTAGACACTATACAGTTTATGTTATGTTATTAATTCCCTGTCAGTGATCCTAAGATTGAGATATATCGTAGGGCTAGCTCCAGTATCGGCGTGTTGTATTATTTGTTACTTACTTTCCTCCAGTTTTATGCACCCAAGTGGTCTAATTTTGGTAAGAACAAATAGTGGCTTATACCTGATTCAGGCTTAAAATTATCCACATACCAAATTTCATCAAAACTTTTCGTTTGTTTTTGCGTGAAGATGCAACAGAAATTGTACTTGTATGACTACCTATATGTATGTTTGTCTGTGCGGGTATTTGTGTGCGCGTGTCTGTGTCTGTAGTGATTCATATACAATATAAATGGTACTCAAATAAAGCACATTACACTAATTGGCAGGATCGATAAGAGAATCGCTGATGTATCGTGAAATTTTCAACAACTATCTTTAAACAATTGTGTATAAAATGTACACATATAATCCGGATGTTGGAGGCGTGGTGACCTGTAAAACGGATTTTACGCTCAAGTGCAGGCACCAGTCTGATATATTCTATACATTTGTACATTTTTTTTTTGGTATTGTGGAGAAAATAAAGAAATATTTTTATTATATAGGTTTGGCTTTTATTTTTATTTGTCATACTTACTAACTACCACGCTAAAAGTTAAGGAGTAAAACTAGGGTAGATAAAGCTAAATACTTCCTAATAAAGTGCAATTTTAGCCCCTTGTATAGCAGTCTACTATTTTTTAAGTGGAAACTTCTGCAAATTATTGGCAATGTTATTTTTATGTTGGATGATTGACATAAGTATATTACAATACTGCTGCTACTGGTCCTGGCTGCATTTGCAGTCGTTAATACCCTCAGATCTGCATTGGGCCAACGTGGAGGGTCATGGCCCATCCTCCTTAACCATCCATAAGGAAGGCCTGAGTCCCTGCAGTGGGGACATAACAGGGCTGATGATGATGATGATGAGTACTAGTTACATATTATACGTATAATCAAAGATAGTATAATACGAGACTAAACAATACACAGTTTGCTACACCAATATTGATCTTTAACGAAAAGAGAATAATTAAAAAAACAATCACAAGAATTTCCCATGGAAATGTATAAATAACGACTCCATAAAACCAACCTGTTATTTTCAATAACCGAGCGGCTACTGGCGTGAAAAAGGTTCAAGCTGGGTGAGTAGGGTTAGCAGGTTAGATATTTAAGGAAAAACAACCTATTTAAATAGTCCTGAGATTCTGTCTAAGCCTGAAAATAAAGGAAATTATTTTACTTTACTAAGGAAACGTGATGACAATTATTATGTAGTTATATAATAAACTAGCTCTTTTCCCGCGACTTCACTCGCGAAAGTTATAGCCTATTCGCCATGTTACGGACGCACGTCTCGTCGAGTTGTATATATTAGATGATCTTAAGTAAATTATATATAATAAGTAAGTTTAGTTAAATGAATGTGGTTAAAGCTTAGAATTAAATGATACAACCTATGGGTGTATTTATTCCCCTAGTATTAAGATAATTTAAGTTATAGCAAATTAAATTATTGTGAGGGGTTGGATTTTATTTGATATGGTTTTCTATAAGGTATTGCCTCGCTAAGGAGGCTTAGGTAGCTCTCTGTATGGTATTGCTTCACTCAAGGAGGCTTATGTGGGTTTTCTATATGGTATTGCCCGAGTCAAGGGAGTTTATGTGGGTTTCTATACGGTATTGCCTCGATACAGGGGTGTTTAAAATGTAAAATGTTCGACTACCTTCATGTTAACGATAAAAATGTATCGGAGCGAGACGGCGCTGGTTTACGCGGGATCTTCCGTCTCGCTCTGACCACATAAATACATCGAGCAAGAGCGCGGCGCGCCTTAGAATGATTATGAGCTTCGACGGCGCGCTCTTGCCCGACACGATACGAGTTATGTAACAATAATATGATGATGTTTTAACGTGATTTATGATGTAAATGTAGAAACAGTAAAACGTAGTAATTAACAATAATGTGATACATAGACGTTAAGGGTGGGGGATGGCTTCGCAAAGTAGGGGTTAGATATGTAATAGGCTAACCAACTGATAATATACGGAGCTAAGTGCGAGCCACCCCAACAAATGTAAGACGGGTCGATTTGAGCGAAATTTGTAAGCTCTCCGGCCCTCAAGATTTAAGAATAAAGAAGATGTGAAAACCATCGAAGGAAGTTTCAATTATACAGTCCAAGCATCGGCTAGCTACGTGTAAATCTGTTCAAGATCCAGGAAGATCCGCAACACAAGTTTGGTCCATCGCTCGCCGGATATATGAAGTCAGAAGACTGAAAACCTTCCAGACCTACGGACATAGCCGAAGAAAACATTCGTGTTCTGTCACGAGTATACGCGGGTGGACCGCGGGCTCATTGCGTACACCACCTAACGGTGCCAAACGGTGTGCGTAGTGAGTTAACGCCGTTCAAGGCGGACGAGGTGGTCAGTTCGTTTCCGAACTACACGTCGTACTACGCAAGGCATTGTAACCATACGGACGAGGTGGTCAGTTCGTTTCCGAACTACACGTCGTATTTCGCGGGGCTGTAAACATACGGATTAGATTGTTAGTTCGTTTCCGAACTACGTCTTACTACGCCAGTAAGGTTTGGCGTGGAGCGGGGGTCCTTTCTGTAGGCACTGCCAATGCTATCGGACATTCCAGCCGATACGCGAGCGCCCCGTTGTCCGCGACCGACTCTCTGCTGGGTAGTTCCTACCTTCCTATCCTGCACGATATCCATCCTCAAGCGGGCTCCCCAGTTAGCGTACCCGTTTGAGATTGATAGGAGTAGGGGCTGCAAGTAAGAAGAGGACATGCCAACGACGAGACGTCAAAGCCAAGCCGAACAAAGCAAAATGGACAGCGCTAAAGGAAAAGTGTTCGACAGGCCACCTGCGTCACCCTCGTGCCTTGCCTCATCCGTGATGCCGTCGGAAGCGCCACAAGAAACCGTAGAAGGTACCGCCGCACAGAGAATTGAACATCGCGACGATATGCCTAGATCGAGGCCACCAACGGTATGTTCGAATTCGAGCGTTGCTGCGCGCGTTAAGCAGGCGCAACTCGCAGCGGAAGAGCGACTCGCGGAAATACGACGCCGCGAGTTGCATATTGAATCGGAGCTAGTAAAAAAGAGATTAGCATACGAAATAGCTACTATACAAGAGGAAACCGATCCGGAGAGCTTACCCGCCGTCGATAATGTCCAACGAGTGGACGACTGGTTCCAGAATCTACGGCGTCAGAACGTGTTAGAGCCCATGTCGGAAAGGGACGGCGATACGGCCGCGCAACAGAAAAGGAAGGATGCGCGAGCCGTAGAGGTAGATAAACACCGCCACATTACGGACTCTCCCTTCAAGGAACAGAGTGATGATAAACTAATCGATGAGACAGCAAACCGAGATCAGCAAACGATTAAGGAAGACTCGGGGATGGATAAGCTCGCTCATACGTTAGAAAGAATGATGAATAGGCGTCCGGTGCCGCGTCAGGCTCAAGA